CCACTGTGACCATTGTAGACCTATTCAAACCTCTCTCTCTCCACACGTCACAAAAAGCAGAGAGAATCAATAGAGAGAGCAGCCTACATGGTTTGGCATCATCACTGTTGGTTTTAATTCCTTGCAGCACAATAGCCTCCTCCAGTTCTTCAAAATCAAAAACAGATCCTCCTTGATGACTGAGTTATATTGAATCAATCAAATTTGAGAAATAAAGCAAACCCATTTATTGTAATTTATCTAAAAGTTTGTGTTTTTGAAAACAGAAGAATTTTGTGGAACCGTACATGAAGCTTGTACCAGTAGGATTAAGGCTGTGAAGTATTGCATATGGGAGATGATGGTGGCTTGAAGGTCCTGAAGCAGACAAACCAGTCTCTCCAATTCTTTGACTTGCCATTCAAGTGCTCTTCAGACCATTCTAATGCTCCTCACAGAAGAAGCTGTAATACCCAAATGTTGAAAAATGAGATTTTACAAGAAAAGTAAACACAAGAATGGAAAAAACAAAGAGTTTTCTGTGTAAACAGGGGAATTTGGAAAACTACAAGATGGAATTTTGTACATCTTGAAAGAGTACCTCAGTTTTCTATCGAGTTGAAACTTGAAAGAGACAAAAGTCTTGATCTTGTGGAGCAAAACCCAACTGAGAGGACACTAAAAGAGAAACAAAAGATCAGAACTTTCTTAAATTATTTTTAAGTAGCCATCACAAATGGGTCCAGTCTCTCTCTCTCTCTCTCTCTCACAGAACTCTAGCGTCTTTCTTCTCTGCTTCTAAATGAAAAAACCTGACCCAAAAACCTTATAGATTATTTTGTTTAAGCTGCTCTATCTCTGTTAAAAAAAAAAAAAAGCTGTTCTATCTACCTCTCCAGTAATTATTTCAGGTTTGAAACTCATCGCATGGGTACAGAAAATCCTGTCCTTGAAAAACTTGTCTAAGCCCTGTGGACCTGTGGCTTTGGAGCATTCGAAAACAAACAAAAACTATAAAATAAAAACAAAAATATTGCTTTACATAAAGAAAAGAAAAACAAAAATATTGGTGTACATAAAAGAAAAGAAAAAGGTAGGCCTTTAGCAGGAACCCACTAAAATCACCGACTCCAACACCCAGCCCCCCTTCTCTTGGGGCCCTCCCTCTCTCTAACCGCCTATGTTTTCCCATTGGTCCTTTTATAGAGCTTTTCACAGATGCAATGTAAGTACTAACTTGATAAAGATATAACATCAAGTCGGGCTATTTCATTTCAGAATATACATCCCATCCAATTAGATTGGCTACTGTAAAGCTTCTGAAGTCATTCTTACGACATGTATCTCCTAGTAACTATATCCAACAAATAATAATTAAGCCAATTTCAATTTACACTCATGATATTACTGGATTTCCGTGTTAAATTTTGGAGAGGGTCACGATAGCAAAGAAATACAGTATGACAAGTTACAAGTAAATATAAGTTATGAGTAAAAAGTGTGAGTATCAATTCAATAAAAATTAATTACGACTCAAAAAAGATATGATCAATGTTGAAGTGTTAGCATTGTTCTCAAAATGTTAGCATCTATCTTAAACAATCCTACAAAACAAATCTCATTCCGTTTTTGCATTATGGGTTTCTAAAATGAGATTTAAATCAGTATCAATTTTAAGTTGAATTTTCTTGATAGCACTTNGTTTTTGCATTATGGGTTTCTAAAATGAGATTTAAATCAGTATCAATTTTAAGTTGAATTTTCTTGATAGCACTTAGATTCCTATTTTTCCTTTTCATTAAATCATACTAGAAAAAAGTAAGAGGTATAGTGCCCCCAAATGTTTGTACTAGAAGTGACAAATCTTATAATTTAACTTCTTCCTCATTTTAATTTTCAAAAAATTAAGATGATCGGCTTAGTAACTAATAGTGTGAGTATAAAGCATGTAAAATCATAGTTTTCTATTAGAGAGTCTAATAAGGTAGGGATATATATTGAGGGTTGNATTGTGAGTATAAAGCATGTAAAATCGTAGTTTTCTATTAGAGAGTCTAATAAGGTAGGGATATATATTGAGGGTTGAAATAATTTTGTAGGTGGGGAGTTAAAATAGGTTAACACACGTGTTTAATGTCAATGCATTCAATAAGATGAGTAGGATATATGGATGAATGGAAGGGTTGAGCTGCCTATTAGCGGTTGGAACTAAATTTTGGACAAAANTGAATTAACCTTTGTGATATAGCCTTGTGTGAAGTAGAAAACTTGTTTTATTTTTTTGATTCCGTCATTTCTTGAATTTTCTTTTAGATTTTGATAGAAATTTTTTTGCTAGTTTTTTTTTTTTTTACATATTAAATGGATGTATATAATAGGTGGTGCACTTAGTTGCATGTAAAGTGATATAAAAAAAAGTAAGCTCAATAATTCGATAATAACAAATTAAATGGGATAAGACCGATAAAGATCGAACCGGGTCTAATCTGTCTCTTTTTGTACTTTGGGCTCCGGTTCGGTTCAACCAGGAAGAATATAGCTGCATTCGTTGGTGTGCTACTGTTCTTCACATTTTGTTTTCCCGAGGAAGAAGAGATAGAAAAAGCCGGTAGCCATGGAATCCACAGTTCGAAGAAGTGGAGGAGGAGGCGGACTTCTGGAAGGACTATACAGAGTCATTATGCGACGGAACTCGGTCTACGTCACCTTCGTCATAGCTGGTGCTTTCCTTGGTGAACGGGTTAGAGTTCCAAACTCGTTTCTCTCTCCTCGCCTATATATATTCATATACACACACATCATATACGCATAATATGAACTTAACTTGTGTGATATGTTTGTATGGATCTGATATTGTATGAGAAATGTGATTTCTGAAGTTTTGGATCATTGATATTATTGGTTGCAGGCAGTGNTTGTGTGATATGTTTGTATGGATCTGATATTGTATGAGAAATGTGATTTCTGAAGTTTTGGATCATTGATATTATTGGTTGCAGGCAGTGTGGACTATGGAGTTTGACGGTGCCTAAAGTAAATCTCAAGAGTTAGTTTAGGAGTTCAGTTCAAATTGGGAGGTCACTCATAAGGTCAGAATGTAAGCGCTGAATGTCTCTTGAGGTAAGACAACGGCTGAATAATCACGAAAAATTTCTAAAGCGTTAGGAAGCTATAATCAAGACATTTAATTTCAACCAACCAATATTTTCTGCTAGAATTAAAAAAGAATCCCACAAAATAAGAATAAGAATCTCAATCAAAATCCAACTGAACAGGGAACAACCCTATAAATACTATGTAACGCCCCCAAGGAAAAGGGAGGACCTTAGAGGTAAAAACTAGTTATTGTACTCTTGTAATCATCATTTATTAAAAGGCAAGGAGCAAGAGTCTCCATTAAAGAGTGGATTAGACGAGTTTTTNAACGTTTCTCTGGTAAGTGTAGTTAAATAAATATTCTCGTTCCAGCCAGAATATCTATCTAAGACATGAAAGTTGCGTGTACTATAGGAGATAAGTAATAAAGATATTTATAACACAAATACTCATACAGTCGAAATTGTTGTACAAGTTATTCACAACTATCTTCGTACAACAGTCAATGTCGTACGTGACAATTGTGCTTACCTGCAAGGCAAGAGATGCGGTTTAAAGGTGTTTTCTTCATTTTTTGTACTATGATGTTAATCAAACCGAGTTGTCATGTTTGAGGATTCACAAGCACAATTCGATTGAAAGTAGTCAAGCTCAAACTCTAGCGGTTCAACTCATCTGTTGAGCTAAGATTCCTACTCAACTTTGACCCAATAAAAGTTTGTGAGCATTCGAATTAAATTTGAGTTGAAATCAAATTTAATTTCTTTGCAAACTCAGGTACTACTTAATAGAAATGTAAGGCTTACAGAAATATCGGAAACAATCACAATATGTACCCCTTTCAATTAAAAAAAAAGGGGCTGTTTGGTAATTTTATTTATCTTGTGTTTTGTGTTTTTGTTTTCAATTTTTGTCAAAAATGAAAATAAAAACATATTTAGGTACTATTTTTGTTTTTGTTTTATATTAGTAGTTTAGAAACAAAGACACAAAAAAGATGTTCCAAGAAACACCAAAAACAAAGATAACAGGCGCAAAAAGGCTTGGGCTTTATTTGTGTGCGTGTTGTGTTGATTTGGAATTTAATTGTCAAATAAATACCAAACATATTTAGGATAAAATTTGAAATAGTTATCAAACATATTTTTTGTTTTTATTCTCGTAATTTGATAAACAAAAATGACTTCCAAATATGTTTTTTGTTTTAGTGTTTATCACAAAACAGAGACAAAAATTATCTCTGCTTTTAATTTTTTTCAAGACACGAAAACAAAAACGTTACTAAACGATCCCTAAATTTTATGATTTCAGTCTTTATCACATCTCATATACTCTTAAAAATATTTTTTCAAAATGAATTTATCTAATGAGATATAAGTTAGTATTACTTCTCGATTTAATTCTATATTTGATTTTATGTGTACTATGTAGATTTCTATTATTGGTGTTGTATTTTGGTATTTATGTCAAGTTTAATAATTTTTAATTTAAATATATCTATAATATAAAACAGGGCATGCTTTAATAAGTTCATCTGACAATCTCAAATAAATTCATCTAACGGTTACCAACAATTCTCTCAAAACTATTCACATTAATTTATGTTGAACTGTGCCTTCAGGCACGAGTTACTCCTAGTGTGTGTGTGTGTGTGTGTGTGTGTGTCTATATATATATACTAGTTATAACTCGTGGTTGAAGGTACGATGAAATATAAAATTCGAGCACTCAAAAAATCGATACCACTATATTAAATAATCATTTTTTCCTTTATTTTTTTAATTACATCATTTAAAATTTATTTTTATCTATTATTTTCTAAAAAAAATTTTAACATGTGTATATTAGCATGTATAGATAATGTCTTAAATAAAAATTACGTTAAATTATAAATTAATCAAATATTAAATGATTAAGCATATGATAGAAATGAATTATGTGATATTTTTTAAAAAAAAATATGTAAAAGATAAAAATTCAAGTTGGTAGATATTTTATTATATAGATATGCATTCAAATTGTTTTAAAAAGTAGCAGTAAAAACTATTTTAATAAAAAAATTATTTCGTCAGGATGTAGTTTGAATTAACCTTTGTGATATAGCCTTGTGTGAAGTAGAAAACTTGTTTTATTTTTTTGATTCCGTCATTTCTTGAATTTTCTTTTAGATTTTGATAGAAATTTTTTTGCTAGTTTTTTTTTTTTTTACATATTAAATGGATGTATATAATAGGTGGTGCACTTAGTTGCATGTAAAGTGATATAAAAAAAAGTAAGCTCAATAATTCGATAATAACAAATTAAATGGGATAAGACCGATAAAGATCGAACCGGGTCTAATCTGTCTCTTTTTGTACTTTGGGCTCCGGTTCGGTTCAACCAGGAAGAATATAGCTGCATTCGTTGGTGTGCTACTGTTCTTCACATTTTGTTTTCCCGAGGAAGAAGAGATAGA